TGGCCAGACCTGCCGCTAAGGTATGTAAGCCCAGGAGTCTGCCCACTCCTCCTGTATGGATTCAGCTCAGGTGTCCAGGTAGTCAGCCACCACCTGTTTGGTGCAGGCTCTCACCTACAGTTCTAGGCAGGCATGGGTGATTGGTGCGGGCACAGGCATTCGGCAGCAGCAGGGGGACACGGGCTGAGCAAGGCAGGGTGCCGAGAGCCAACCCCAAGTGTCCAGGAAGAAAGCGTGTGCCTGTTCCCTAGAGTGCGTAGAAGGGTGGGTTTTGCAGCCAGAGTATGACCACCCAGTGCTGTTGGCTTTAAGGACTGGGGGGCACCTCTTATTCTTGGGCCCCTGTAGCAGGTGGCTAGGTGGCATGGGTGGAGCCACCAGTCTTCAGGCCCCTGATGTAGGTAGATCAAGACCCTGCTTAATGGGCAGAGCAGTGTCAAATGTCACGAACATGCCAGTTCACAGGTGAAACACTTGAAGTTAGACTTCAGGTATATACCCTGTTGTACTGTGGTAATGAGGGCCTACCCTGTTGAAATGGCCCACGCAAGTCTATGCAGGGGCAAAGGCACTCAAAGTCCATGGATCCATTATGCCTGTGTCTAGGCAAAGGAGCTGTGCCTACCCTGAGTTCCTGGCTTAGGGAAGGCAGATTTTTCTTTTACTGCTTGTTAATTTGTTCATTCTCCAAGGCCGAGAGCATGGCTCAGGGCACGACGGGTCCTACTTTCGGCCCAGGGGACTTGGCAGTTGTTGACGCTGGTCTGGGACCCAGTGCAGAGCGGGGAGCAGGGAGGTAAATGGGAGAGAGGCTTTTCCCTAAGGGGGGTGTTTTTGATGTGTGGGGTAGGCTGGATGCAAGTACCTATCTTTCGCCAATTGACGGAGGGCTGCTTCTCACTGGTTCTGTATGGCCCAGTAGGTCTCTGCCACTGGGTCTCTCCTGGCGCGGAAAATGCCTCCTGAGTGCCGCTGCTTGCCTGCCTCACCACTCACCCCCAAGCTGATCCGGGCTGAAGGGCTCAGGCTCTTGCCAGGTCAGGTCTGGCAACTCCTCGCTGCTTCTGAATCATCTCTCCCTCCCCCTGCCACTCAGTCTGGTTCCTCAACTTTGCCTTTGATATTCAGGGCTCCTAGATTGTCACATATAATCGATTCACTTGTTTTTTCCGGTCTTTGTTGTAACAGGGAACACCGGAAACGTCTAACTACTCTGCCATCTTGGCCTCGCCCCAGGGGAAAGGGGCACTTTCTTGAAGAAGTGATATTTGAGCAAAGACTAAAGGAAGTTAGTGAGTCATGTAGTTATCTGATGAAGTTTCCAGGTAGAGGAAACAATAAGTGCTAAAACCTTCAGATGGGAGCAAGCTTAATGCTGAGCAACAGCACGGATGAACGTACAAGTGGCTGGCAGGGTATGGCAGAGGTGGGGCCTACAGATCACAGAGGACCTTGCAGGCCAAAGTAAGGATGTCAGCTTTTACTGAGATGGGAAGTCATTGGGGAATTTTGGCTAGACAAGAGACATAATCTGTTTTAAATGCAACACTCTGGTTGCTGTGCTGAAAATAGACTATAGCGGGGCAACAGCAGACAAAAGGAAGCCAATTAGGTAGCTGTTACAATTCAAGTGAAAGATAATGATAGCTCTGACCAAGGCAGGAGGCCCTGGGTGGCCCAAAGGGTTAAGTGCTTGGCTGCTAACCTAAAGGTTGGTGGTTCAAATCCACCCAGAGGGACCTCGGAAGAAAATCCTGGTGATCCACTTCTAAAAGGTCACAGCAACTAACCACAAATAATCTGAGGTATATCCTGTATTTCTCTTTCAGTTCCCTAATCTGATTAGAGAAGATGATACTTAAGGTCAGTCACTTCAGGGTTAAAAAAAAGGGAACCCTGGTGATGTAGTGGTTAACAGCTATGGCTGCTAACTAAAAGGGCGGCAGTTTGAATTCACCAGGTGCTCCTTGGAAACTCTATGAGGCAGTTCTGCTCTGTCCTATAGGGTCACTGTAAGTTGGAATCAACTCAACAGCAATGGTTTTTTTTTTAATAGGGTCACTGAGTCAGAATCAACTTAACAGCAGTGGGTTTAGTTTTGAGCATTAAAACTTCTATAAAATTATGGATTCCAAGTAAATATCCAATCTTAATCTGACTACAGATTAAACATTCTTTTAATTTTTTTAAGAGCACGTGAAAAGGTTTATTATTCACATAACTGAGGTCCCTGGGCTAACAGTGTCTGGGCTCTCAAAGGTCTGAAATAGCTTTGAGAATAAGGAAAGGAGACTGGTCTGGTTTTTATTGTGGTTAGGGGGTGGGGCTGGAGTGAGGGTTCCTGGGAGCCCATGGGTAGGGAGCTTGTGTGGTTTGAATCGCTCACTGGTGTGAAAAGGAGGGAACACTCAGGCTTGCTTTCTTTTTTGCGAACGAAACTGGTGAATGTTTATTTTTATAATTTCAAGGCCCTCATGTAAGGTAAACATTCTTATCTTATGCCCCAACATGGGGACCTGATTATGAAGTCCTCGGCATAGGTACCTTTAAAGATGGGAGCACGATATTCTCATACCATATATACTTTATATACTGGGTCACCCTTGTACCCTAAGATAAAGCATGAAGTTACTGAAATCTATTTTCTCGTAAACATGGAAAATTAAAAATATAATGTGAGGGTTCAGCTTTTCCTCCCTCAAATTTAATTAAAGTTAAGGCAGTTTCAACCAGATGCATGTAAAAATATTTGTGACTAAATTGTGTTTTAGGTTCTAGTCACTCAGTAATTTCTGAGATCCAAGCTTACAAGCAAATGCTGCGAAGTTAGCACAGAACAATTAGTTTTTATTTTCGGGTAAGGACCAAGAGATAATAATGTAAATATTGTTTGAAAAAGTATAAATCCCTATGTATTCTAAAAGGCTATTAGGGAAGAAAACAAGGTATACAAATTTAGCTAACTTTAAACTAATAAATTACTTAGATTAAAAAAAAAATTGACGTTACAAATTCAATCTGAAGTATTTCTGATTCCTAAAGCAGTAAGTATTCTATCATCCAAAATCTTAGAAGCAAATATAATACGTAAATTCAACCTGTTTTTATTATTTGTTAAATACATATCTATATGAATAAATATATTCACTCCCTTCAGTAAACTATAGGTGGGCAAAGCTGGAAAACAGATCTTTTCCATATCCAACTTACTTGACTCCAAAATAATACCTGCCTTTCCAGCATTCAGCATATATACACATTTCTTACCTAGTTATATGTTTGCAAAATTCAATCTGTATTATTCCAGTGCCAATTACCAGCTTTATTAATTCATTACACAGGGACACTAGCATAAGGGGACTCAAGAATTCACATTCATGAGTAGAAAGTAAGAAATGAACAATGATGTCAACACTGTAAACTGAATTGTTCCTTAGCTTCTCCTAATGCTAACACATGGCAGATCACTAAACATAAAGTGAATTCTGGGATTTCAGGAGCATTAAGTGTAGTCTGATAAAATCATATTCCCACTATTACCTTTGAAAATAACCACTTGTACTTCTAGTACACATCTTAGATCATATTTGGACGTTCTGTTCAATTTACTGGGAATTTCTGTTTGTTTTATTATAATACTTTATTGTGTTTTTGGTGAAAGTTTACACAGCAAATTAGGTTCCCATTTAACAAATTTCTACACATACTGTTCAGTGACATTGGTTACATTTTTCACAATGTGTCAACATCGTCATTATTTCTGTCTCCATTACTCTAGCTTCCCTGCACTCCCCTTATCTTCTCATCTTTGCTTTAGGGTAAATGTTGACTGTTTTGTCTCATATAGATGGGTGATATCGTTTATTTTATGAGCCAATCTGTTACTGAGCTGAATGAAATGTTTTTTTAATGTTGTATTACATAATACAGAATGCAGGAATAAGTCAAGTCTCACTTTAAGCAATTACCTAACAGTATCAGTAAAATGGTACTTTGACTTTTAGTCATGGCATAAAATACACAGAAAACGTAAGGCTATTTTTCAATTATTCTTTGAGGGCCTTCAAGTTGGAAAATGAATTATGAAAAACTCAAAAGATGTTGCCAGCATTACTCGAGTAATTAGGTAAAATCAATTATATCACTGAGATTCAAGAATCATTACATGATAGGGCTGAAAAGAGCTCCAAGATTCACTTGTCCAGAGTTTGTAAAATTCTTTATTTCCCAATAAAATACTTCATTTTAGACTATACTCTAAGGCAGTCTTCCAATTTGTCAAAATGCCTGCTCTCTTGGCTAGTTGTTTACTAGAAATTAGTAGGAACAGCTTTTTCCCAAAGAAGTTAAACCAAGCTGTCTAAGCCCTTCTGCCAGCTGGACTGCCCTCCTCTGGTCTATGTAAGGAATAAAGCCCGCAGGTGAATGCTACTTCGTTTTACAAGACGGTAACATGGTAGGTATAAATGTAAATGAGAAAAGGCATATTCCATATCCCAAACAAACTGGACTTCCCTGAACAGGTTAAAAAAAACCCTTTAGTAAATAAACTTTTACACTGAAAAAAACAACGAAGTGCCAATACAAGTAAACAATTTTCATCATTTTGAGAACTGGTAATGAAGCAGCTTTATATAGTCTTAATCTCCTTTTCAATACCTTGGAGGCAGATCTGGATTACTAATTGTAGCGGCAATGGGTATACTCTAATCTTTTATAATGATTTGCATATTAATACAAGTTGCATTTTTGAGAGTCCACTTTATAGATGTTTTCTTACACAAACACTGGTCACAGTAGATACATGCTGGCAGCAGATCATTATCCTTAAAATCTCTTGCCACAAGCACCAAAGCTTTTCAGAGCTGTTTCCTTTGTGGTTCATCCCCAAGCTTGAGATTTGCAGTAATGTAGGACCAGTTTACCATCACTGCCAAAACACTAGCAAAAAAAAGGGGGGGGGGGAGGGGAAATAAATTTGTTATTTTCAGATGAAAGAAAAAAAAAAAGTGTATCACGAATATCCCTGCACATGCAAATTACCTGTAAGACTATTTTCTTCAAGAGATGCATGCTGCTATCTGACACTTACCAATAATCACAAATGTTTAGTAAAACCTGCCCTTTAGTTATCTGAGGCATAGATGAGCTTACATATTTTAATCCTGTCCCCTTTCTACATTTGCATCCATAATGTGTGCACCTTCACCTGTTTCTTAGTAATACTGCCAATGTCTATATTTTAATGATTAGTGTCATCGAGAAGGATGAACAGTGTTGGTTTTATGTCATCTTTTCAAGATCTGCATTACTGATAGTAGAGTCTATTTCAAAGCCATCTTTTGTCTGTATTACACATTCTTTGATTCTTCATTCTTTGTATAATTTATTGAGATTCTACTACATTTTTAAAGATGTTAGAAAAAGAGAACAAGACAGTCGTCTCTTCTTTCCTCTGTAGACAATTAACAATAGCATGTATCTCTTAAACATGTGACTTAATGATCATACTATACATAGATGTGCATACTCCATTAAGAAAAAAAGGCAGTAACTAATTTTACCTCATAGAGTGTTCCAACTTCCTGGTCTGGGGAAGGGGCAAAGGACTGATTCACATAAATAAACTGTAAGAAAGAAAAAAAATTAGGGAGATTCATTTCTAATGGCATCCTGATTAAGCTGTATTTTTTTCTGGGTTCCAATCAGCCAGTGACTTCAAATTCTTTGTTTTCAGAATTGAAGAAAACTTTCCTAAACACTTCCTAATTCTCATAAATTAATGGTATCTTTATGAAAATTACATCTTTCCTCAGAAGAAGGAACAAAAATACCAATTTTTATTCCTAAAACTGGTTCTCAACTTTCTATAACTAAGAAACTTAAAAAAAAATTTAATAGCTTTTGAAAGATTGTTCAAGACGTTCCATTATTAAACAATTAATGTTTCCATTTACACATAATTAAGGACAGAATTTCTGCTAACAAAATTTCACACAGCCAAAATTCCAGAAATCCAGTATTTACATATGTATCTCTGCATTTATCTTGGGTAAATGTGTAACATATGGTTGTTTTTGACGTTTCTGACCTTCGAAAATTCTTAAAGACATTGGACTTCAGGCTGGACATCACTACTATAGTCACTTGTGGCCAAATGAAACAGAAAAAAGATAACATAATTAAAACCAAATGTTCTTACAACTTTGTTCTTTAAAGCATCCATTGTTCAATGTTTTAGACAGTGTAGTCTGTTTTTACAAAAGTATTTCTAGTAATTAAAAAAAAAGTCTGAAGATGGTGAGACAAAAGATCACACTGCCAAAGTGGGTTTTGATAATTTTCTTTTTAGAAAACAAAACATTATTTTCAGGTAACATTCAATTTTCCTTTCAATATCTGTATTCAAATTCCAAGACTAAAATTTCCAGGGCTTAACACAGTCTTTTTAAAAAATAACTCTTATCAGAATAGTTGGCTGACAGACATTATTTTTGTCATCAACAGTAACAATAAATACTGCTTACATTTCTCCCTTAAGCGATACAGTGTGGTGATTAAGAATACAGGCTCTACTGAGAAAGATCTGGGTTCGAATACTGGCTCTAAACACAAATAACTTTTTCCAGCTTGCTTCCTTATTTGCAAGATACAGAAAGTAACAGTACCTATGCCTCTTGGGAAGGAAGCTTGGAGACGCAGTGGTTTAAGCACTTGGCTGCTAACCAAAAGGCCAGCGGTTCAAACCAACCAGCCACTCACCAGGAGAAAGACGTGCCAGTCTGCTTCTGTAAAGATTAACAGCTTTGGAAATCCTATGGGGTAGTTCTACTCTGTCCTACAGGGTCACTATGAGTCAGAATTTGACTCGACAGCAGTAAGTTTTGGTTTTATGCCTCTTGGGGCTGGCTAGGAAGGACAAAATGAGATAAACTCTGTTAAATATCAGTTCCTGGTTCAGAGTGTGTAAGTACTCAGTAGACATTAGCAATTATTGTTATATTATTTTAAAATAGTTCATCCTTAAATATCAATTGTGCCTGGTTCACAGTTAAGGTTGAGGAAGCTGCTAACATAAAAAAAAATCAGGAAAAAAAAAAAATCAGAAATGTTAACAAAATCAGGTGCATTTTAATGTGAATTCCCTGTAATACATATGTAATTTGTACTTAGCTCCTGGCACTTTAACTATAAGTGAACAGTTTTTCCTCTTAGGATACATATTAAATTATGGGAAGAGCTCTGGATAACCGTTTAATTCAGCAAACATTCACTAAGGGTCTATTATGTTCTGGTAACTGCACAAGGTGTGCCACTATGGAGATTAATATGCTCTCTCCCCTCAATGAGTTTACAATCTATTGAAGAAGCAGACACGCATGAAAAGGTACGAAATGTGGAGGAGGAAAGTGCATCTAACAACGTCCACGGCACAGAGATGTGGCATTAATCTAGCTTAGCCAACAGGTTTGAGAGGGCTTCGTGGAAGAGATGCTGGAGCTAAGACGAGAGGGATAAGCAGGATTTAACCAGGTGAGGAGAGTAGCGATTAGGGAGGGTGGCTTGGAAGGCTAAGGGACAAAGTACGATGATGTGAGTGCTGAGGGGAACAGTGAGTAGATGGAGTAAAGAATTACAGGAACTCAAGGTGATTTTGTAATAGCAGTTGGTAACTGGAAATGACCTTAATGAAAGGAAAAAAAAAAGCAATTCAGCTAGTTTAAAAGAAATAAATACACAAATGTGTTTCTATACCATAAAACTCTACACAAATAGATTATGGTCACCAATTCCTTTGAGGAAAAAGATCTATATTGCAGTCTGTCACTTTTAGAGCAGATTTAGTTACCTTGGACTTATGAAATTAATCACAAGAGTAAAATTTCTAAAATGCAGTTTTGTGCTAAATGCTACAACTGGGTAAGAGAAAATTACTTTGGCTTTAATGAATAATGATTTTTTGTTTTTAAATCACCAGTCCTTATGTTGATGTCTCTCCAGTGATTTTAGATGTTCTAGAGCTCTTTCCCACTGCTTGTCTGTCAGTTTGTTATACTGTGCGGGCTTATGTGTTGCTGTGATGCTGTAAGTTATGCCACCGGTATTTCGAATACCAGCAAGGTCACCGATGGTGGACAGGTTTCAGCAGAGCTTCCAGACTAAGACAGACTAAGGAAAAAGGACCTGGCAATCTACTTCTGAAAAAAATTAGCCAGCGAAAACCTTATAGGTAGCAGCAGAACACTGTCTGATACAGTGTTGGAAGACGAGCACCTCAGGTTGGACGGCACTCAAAATGCGACTGGGGAAGAGCTGCCTCCTCAAAGTAGTCAACCTTAATGACACGGATGGAGCAAAGCTTTCAGGACCTTCATTTGCTGATGTGTCAAGACTGAATATGAGAAGAAACAGCTGCAAACGTCCATTAGTAACTGAATGTGAAAGCTGGAAACAAAGAAGGATCAATGGTTGGAAAACATGGCCTTGGTAATACAAAAGATGCTGGAGATCGCATAATGGAATTTTCCTTTTTTTTCAACAACATAAACGATGACTATACACGTGGACCTCACTGGATGGAATACACAGTAATCAAATCAACTACATCTGTGGAAAGAGACAATGGAGAAGCTCAATATCATCAGTCAGAACGAGGCCAGGGGCTAACTGCAGAACTGACCATCAACAGCTCTTATGCAAGTTCAAGTTGAAGCTAAAGAAAATTAGAACAAGTCCACGAGAGCCAAAGTACGACCTTGAGTATATGCCACCTGAACAGATCTGACCCAATGAACACTAATGACTGAAGTCCAGACAAGTTGTGGGATGACATTAAGGATATCATACATGCAGAAAGCAAAAGGTCATAAAAAGACAGGAAAGAAAGAAAAGACCAAAATGGATGTCAGAAGAGACTCTGAAATTTGCTCTTGAACATACAGTAGCTAAAGCAAATAGAAATGATGAAGTAAAAGAGCTGAACATAAGACTTCAAAGGGCTGCATGAGAAGACAAAGTATTATGATGAAATATGCGAAGACCTGGAGTCTGTAGGGATATTTGTTCTTTTTCTTTTTTTATAATAACATTGTCTGGGATTTCACCTTGATATTTGTCTGTTGCTCATTTTTGTGTGTCATGGTTTGAATTATGTCCCCCCAAAAACGGATATATCAATTTGGCTGGGCCATGATTCCCAGAATTGTGTGGTTGGCCTCCATTTTGTGATTGTAATTTTATGTTAAAGAGGATTAGGGTGGGATTGTAACACCACTCTTACCCAGGTCAAATCCCTGATCCAATGTAAAAGGAGTTTCCCTAGGGTGTGGCCTGCACCACCTTTTACCCTACAAGAGATAAAAGCAAAGAGAAGCAAGCAGAGAATTGGGGACCTCATACCACCCAATAAAGCAGTGCCAGGAGCAGAGCGCGTCCTTTGGACCTGGGGTCCCTGAGCAGAGAAGCTCCAAGTCCGGGGGAACACTGATGAGAATAAGGCTGACAAAGAGAGAAAGCCTTCCCCTGGAGCTGACACCCTGAATTTGGACTTGTAGCCTACTGGACTGTGAGAGAATGAATTTCTCTTTGTTAAAGCCATCCACTCGTGGTATTTGTTAGAGCAGCACTAGATAACTAAGACAATGTGAAATCAGTTTTCCTCAACTTTCAGAATCAGGTGGTTCAGGGTTGCTTTTCTAACTTCACAGAGCTCCCTTTTCTATTGTATTTTGCATAGTGTTAAAAAAATATGGTGGCCTGCTTTGAGCTTTCCAGACTGTTCCCCTCCACTTCGATGGTCCTTCTTTTTCCTTTATCTCTCATGTGCCTTACCTGTACAATTTTGATCTCATTGCTAGAAGCTTCTCCTTAGTGTGGGGTCCTATCCTAGGAGGGAGCTCAATGGGTTTGTTTTAAGAGCTCCCAGGGGCTAGATGACTCCAGCCTCTTCAGTCCTTCTTAAACCCCGCTGCTGTTGAGTCGATTCCAACTCACAGCGACCCTACAGGACAGAGTAGAAATGCCCCATAGGGTTTCTGAGGAGCAGCTGGTGGGTTCGAACTGCCAACCTTTTGGTTAGCAGCCAAACGCTTAACAGACGCACCACTAGAGCTCCTCAGTCCTCCTTACTGCAAATGTAATTACCTGCTACTGGAGAGGGCAAAACCTCTCTGTTTCAACTACTGTTCTCAAATTGGACCACTGTTCTTTCCTGTGAGTAGCCATTGGCTATTTTCAGGTTTTCTTTTTCAACCCTGCTATTTGCTCTTTTTTTTTTTTAAAGCACATATGCTGATACCATGAAGACCCTGTGGTTATTAGTGGTTTATCCCTACCAACCTATATTTTGGGGTGCAGGGTACCCTGTCACTTAAGTTCTGTTATAAATACTGATCATTGCTGTCTAGTTAATTGTTGTTGTAGGAACCTGAAGAGATTAAAAAACTATGCTTTATGACACCAATTACATTGTCACAGAATCTCTGACATTATTTTTTTAAAACATTGTATGCCAATGATGTGGGACATCACTAGATGAAAGCTGGAAGATGTTGAGTTCTAGTTTAATCTAGGAAAGTGACAAAATGATTCTACTTTTGTTTATGCTTCCTACTGCTTAAATGGGAAT